AGGCGAAGGCGGGCTAGACGGAGCCGGTGAGGCCTACTAGCTGGCGACTTGAATTCATTTCCGTACTTTCTCTCATTATACTTGCTCTTTAGGTGAGTGATCAGGATTTCTGTGTAACTCAATACAAAAAATGAGTTTACTATGAATGGGCACTTAGGCGAGGGTGTACTTTATCGCACTCGATCTAAACCCCATTAATTGCTATTCATACCTGTGAAATATGATTTTTATGATTTGTTATAGAGCATTCATGGCTTGTGAATATTTGCAGAGCATTTATTGCTTGAACCAGAGCATTTATTGCTTGAACCAGAGCATTTATTGCTTGAACTAGAGTATTTATTGCTTTAAAAATATTTTAGAGCATTTATTGCTCGTGACTTGGGCAAGAGAAGTGAGCTGTGTAGCTCAGGATCTTAAGGGTCAACCAGTGATCAAACTCGACAAAAGAGTTGGCTTGGGAGCCACCCGTATCCTTACTATGTAGTGTTACTTTTCTGCTTTTGCTTTGCTCTTACTGGTCGGATGTTGACATGTAAAAACTACATTTTTACCCCTGGTTACTCACTAAGCATATAGTTACCCCTTTCTATTTGTTTTCCTTAGCAGGGGGCCGACGCGGGGATCGCTCGGGAAGGTGTTTAGATAAGTTGAACTTGTATTTGTTATAAGTGGACTAGGAAGTTGTATATATTTGTCATGGTGGTTAGAGTTATCAGCTTTTCTAGGGTACTTCTGGTACTCGTGGTTTGTATAACTTGATATACTCGTTTATGTAATTATTGAAGAATTTGATGTAATTTTTGAGATTTATATTGTAAACTATTTGAGGATCGTAGTGAGTGAGTGAGTCCCGGCGAGAGCTGGGCAGGCGACCCGCCGAACCCTGGGGTACGCCCTAGGGGGAGGTGGGGCCATCACAGAAGAACTCGGTGTCGGCTGGTTTGTTAAATAAATTTGGCTTTAGGCTTGTGTTTGAGGCTGACAAATTTATTTTGTCTAAAGGTGGTATGTTTGTAAGCAAGGGTTATCTTTGCAATGGGATGTTTAAGCTGAATGTACTTGCTATTAGAAATAATAAGAATGATATTGTTTCTGCGTATTTGGTTGAATTTTCTTTTGAATTGTGGCATAATAAGATTGGCCATGTTAATTACAAAAGAATGCATGAAATGATGAAACTTGATTTGCTGCCATATTGTGAAAAGAATGAAGGAAAATGCAGAACATGCATGCTAACGAAAATCATAAGAAATTCATTTCCTAAAGTTGAAAGATCATCTAAAATCTTGGATCTTATTTATAGTGATGTATGTAATTTGCATGGTACTCCTACTTTGGGTGGTAAAAATTACTTTGTGACTTTTATTGATGATTATAGTAGATACTGTCATGTTTTCTTATTACACTCAAAAGGTGAAGCATTGCAAAAATTTAAGACATACAAATCAGAATTTGAACTTCATTGTGAATCCTTTATCAAATGTCTAAGGACAGATAGAGGTGGAGAGTATTATGATATTACCTATTTTGAGTCTGTTGGGATAAAACATGAGGTGACTGCTCCTTATACACCACAGTAAAATGGTGTAGTCGAGAGGAAAAATCGTGTAGTGACAGAAATAGTTAATGCACTTTTGTCAAAATCTGGACTAAGTCAAGGATTTTGGGGTAAAGCCTTGTTAACGGCTTGTCATATCCTAAATAGAGTTCCTAATAAAAGAAGTTCTATAGCCCCTTATGAATTGTGGAATAAAAGGAAGCCCAACCTAAGCTATTTGAAAGTTTGGGATTGTAGGGCTGTTGTAAAACTCCCAGAACCTAAAAAAAGAAAATTGGGAGAAAGAGGTATGGAGTGTATATTCTTAGAATATGCACAAAATAGCAAAGCATATAGGTTCATGATAATTGAATCTAATGATTCAATTTCGGTTAATACCATAATTGAATCTAGGGATGTTATGTTTGAAGAGAATAGGTTCACCTCTATAAAAGATGTTATTCCAAAACCAAGTGAATTGACAAAAGATGGTGAAAATGAAACCATTGAATTGAGAAGGAGCAAAAGAGCTAGAAAGTCAAAGGACTTCAGTTCGAACTTTTATATGTATCTAGTTGAAGGAACTAGAGATACAGTGAGCAACCAAATTTCATATTGCTTCAATACTGAGGCTGATCCCAAGACCTATGAAGAAGCAATGAACTCACAAGATGCTCCCTTTTGGAAGGAAGCTATTAATGATGAGATGGACTCAATCATGGGTAATAAAACCTGGAAATTAGTAGACTTACCACCTGGTTCAAAACCAATCGGTTGTAAGTGGATCTTCAAGAAGAAAATGAAGATCGATAGAATTATTGATAAGTTCAAGGTCAGGTTGGTTGCCAAAGGGTTCACACAAAAGTATGGTGTGGACTATTTTGACACATATTCTCCAGTAGCTAGAATTGCTACAATTAGAGTGCTACTTGCTACAGCTTCTATCCAAAATCTAGTCATTCACCAAATGGATGTTAAAACAGCATTCTTGAATGGTGATTTGGATGAAGAAGTATATATGGAGCAACCCGAAGGGTTTGTGATACCTGGTCAAGAGCATAAGGTGTGTAAACTTGTAAAGTCTTTATATGGACTAAAACAAGCACCGAAGCAATGGCATCAGAAATTTGAACAAGTTATTCTTGCTAGAAGATTCAAAATAAATGAATCTGATAAATGCATTTATAGCAAGTTTAGTGATGGCAAAGGTGTCATAATTTGTTTATATGTTGATGACATGTTAATTTTTGGGACTGACTTGGAACAAGTTGAAATCACAAAAACTTTGCTTTCAAGCAAATTTGACATGAAAGACATGGGTGAGGCAGATGTTATTCTTGGTATAAGAATCTTCAAACATGGTAACAATATAATGTTGTCTCAATCACATTATATTGAAAAGATTTTTAACAAATTCAATCAAAGTGATTGTATTCCAGCCTCAACACCATTGGATCTCAAAATAAATTTTGTGAAAAATGAGGGGGATCCAAAATCTCAAATGGAATATGCCAAGGTTATAGGGTGCTTAATGTATGCAATGACTTGTACTAGATCTGATATTGCATAAGCAGTTGGTATATTGAGCAGATATACAAGTAACCCTAATAGGTTACATTGGCAAGGTGTAACCAGAATTTTAAAGTATTTAAAGGCCACTAAGGACTATGGTATATGTTATACCGGTTATCCTTCAGTTTTAGAAGGATTTTCAGATGCTAGTTGGATCACCAATAAAGATGATCACTCGTCGACAAGTGGTTGGATCTTTATGCTTGGTGGAGGTGTAATTTCTTGGGGTTCTAAGAAACAGACTTGTATCACCGATTCAACAATGGCAGCAGAGTTTGTAGCACTTGTTTCGGCTAGTAAAGAAGCTGAATGGCTACGTAATTTACTTTGTGATATACCGTTGTGGCCAACACCTTTGTTGCCTATCTCAATCCATTGTGATAGTGCAGCTACACTTGCTAAAGCATATAGTCAAGTGTATAATGGTAAGTCAAGACATATCGATTTAAGACATAGTTATGTCAAAAATTTGATCACAAATGGAGTCATATCAATTGATTTTGTGAGATCAAATGAAAATTTGAGTGATCCTTTGACAAAAGAATTATCAAGGAATTTGGTGTCAAGGACATCAAAGGGGATGGGTTTAAAGTCCAAAATTCTTGATCACTAATGGTGGAACCTCAATTCAACGCTAGATACAATGTCTAGTCTTGAATTCAATGAGTGAAAGTACACCATTCTAGTAGTTGGTGCACTATGTGAAGTTTAGACATCCCAATGTTGAATAGTGCATGTTATTCTCGCCAGTGCAAATGTAAGGGTGAGTCATTGGACTCTTAACGAATCTTAAAAGTGCTATCTATGGCGGGAGCACTAAGATGTCGCCTATATGAATGTTGGTTTCGGCAAACCACAAAGTTAAGGACTTTACTTTGTAACATTCATGAAAGGATAGTGATACAAGGCCGTAAAATGTATTGTTGAAAAACTTATGGTTGTGCATTGCTCAGTGTGTGATGTGTTTATGAGGTTGGTCCAATGTCCAAGTGGTTCAAAACTTGTCTACCATCTTGAAGGATTGATTTCAAAGAACCTTCACTAAAATAGTGGTTCAATCGAAAGACACCATTCTTTATGCATATGAGTGTCAGATTATTCGGTGACCTTTTAGAAATCCATTTTCTAAATTTTGAAAATGGCGGGCGATTGTTGGAAACTTTTCAAAATTTGTATGATGTACATACATGTAATTAATATATATTCATGTTTTTTGGTACATGTATAGTATTGTGAATGTTTCTATTATGTATATTCATTTATGAATGTATTCATGTATATGGGAATCCTTGAATGAAAGGATAGATTCATGTTTTGATCTTAAGATCATGAGATGCATGAATTAAAGTGCATGAATTTGTACACAATACTTTGAATCTATTCATACAAGTATTTATTGAGTTCTTTTGTTTCTCAAACAATCTTCTTATATAAAGAGGTCAAGTAGAGAGTGATTTGCTGCAGAAAATCACTTTCCTACTATTGTATACTCTCTCGAAAGCACTCCTTAGTTCACAAGAGTTTGTCTTGCTTTGTGCAAGAGTTTAAGACAAATAAACTTCATCTTATCCTAAAGGATATTTGTCCAAGGTTATTGCACGTTATACCGGACAAATAAAGCCTAAAGGAAAGTGATATCTATCACGATTTGAAGCCAATTTTTGTCACCATATTTGCCAGTCCTTTACCATTTGCCCAACAAGTGTATGTGGTTACATCTGTAAATTAGTTAATGAAATGGAAAATTTGAAGTGCCAAGGTGGAGACTGTAGTTCCTTTTGAGTTATTAATCTACCCTCCCCCCCCAAAACACAAAAAAAAAAACAACAAAAAAAATGCAGTTTTTAGTGATTAATGCCTGATTATGGGTTTTATTGTCTTTTTAAAAGGATAAAAATCTTTCACCACAATGGATCTTTGTACTTCAAAAAGATGTTTGACAAATTGTATCAGGTCAGTGCTATTGGTACTTATTTGTGTGGATTTGTATCAGAAATTTTTTTTTTGGTTGATTATTCATGCTAGCTATAGTAACAGGCTGACTGGAAACCAGAATCACCAGATAGGTTGGGTGAAATTGCAGAACTGGGCAAGTCCGTGGAATCCTTGAAAATTGATGGAACAAAACCACAAGGTTCTTTTCCTTTGCACTCAACTCCCCTTTTCCAAAGCAACATGACTTTTGTAGCTTTTTCCTACTTCTGAATAATTTTTCAAATTATGATGGAATGATCAGGACAAGGGTCAAAATCCTCCCAGGTTTCCTCAAAACCAGCCAGTACTCCTGCACCGAAACTTGCTGCGTATCGACCACCTCATGCTAAAGCTGCTGCAGCTGTTCAGGCACAGGTATAATTAAAATTTGCATGTACTTCTTTTATCAATTTAAGATAACCAAAACTCTAGTGGGACCAAAAGTTATGTTCAAATCAAAGTTTCCAAGTTATTTTCCTCCTTGTCTGCTTTTTCTTCTTTTAGGTTCAGTTGTTTTTTCCTCTCCCTGTTCTTCTTCAACAGTGATTCATCTATCTCTTTTTAAATTTTTCTTCATCTTCATGACCATATTTGACTATAATGTGAAACTTAATTGGTGCCTTGGCAATCAAGATGAATTAGAGATATCCTGAAGCTATATTTCTCCAAAGGAACTACAGTATCAACATGATATAGGAAATATCTTTTAAGTAATTATCTCAATACCATTTTACTTCAGTTGAGTCACTTGGGAAACATAAGTCACAAGTTGCTGCTTCATTTGGCTGCACTTGCATATAATCTTTGATATGATGACTACCATGACTGCAGTATGCAGTAGGTGGGACACCGTAAATTCTTCTTGGTGAAACAGTTTTTAGATGCAACTAGTCCTAGATGGCAAGGGAATTGGAGCAACATACTTGAAGACGTAACAGTTAGATGCATGCAAAATATTGTTTATGCTGAGGGTTAGATTGCCTAATGTACTCTTTCTCAACACAAGTACTGCTAGTGTCCTCACCAGGTGGAATTTCAGAAGGAAGATTACAGTCACTCTTCTTGGGGCATCGCTCTATGATGATGAAACTGAGGGAATTTGGAGAAAAATGGCAGTCACGGAGAATGACTATTACTGCTTCTTGTATTGATCTCTAAAGAGACTTGATGTTTCAGATGCATAAATTTAGGAAGCAGCCACACAACAAAGATAATTCAACTAAACATTTTGGATACGCTAAAAAAATATGGATACATACGGAGATGACATTTATAGCATACAACTGATGTCCTATGCAGAGGCAGGACTTTCCAAAGTCTTTGAAATGTGCTTATCATGAAGATCATGCATGTGTAGTGATCCTTGCGGATTTCAATGTAAAAGCTGTTGTTGATTACCTTGATGTGCTGCCATTAACATACTGTAATTGACCCTGTCAAAGATATGAATAATTTCTCTGTGGTACTTATACACCATTTCTAACATAAGTTAGTTCCACACCTGGATAACATACGAGACCTTAAGATATCACCTAGTAGGATCTGCTTATAACTATTTCCTTGCAGGAAATTCAAGAAACCATGATAAAATTTTCCAGTTGTATCATAGTTATTGCTGTATACTTTCTTACTACCTGCACTTCTCTTATTAAGTTTTGGTAAAACAGACTTTGACAATTTCATGTAGCTTGAGGATTGCACTCAGATGCTCTTGCTTTTGCATATTCATTATTCATGTAATATTTTGATCGATTGCCGTATTTGACAATATTTTATAATGCTTTTACAGCTATTTGGTGGAAGCCCTTCAGGGTAAGGATGCTATGCAGCTTGGATGCTGATTCTGATTTCTCTCTTGTTATTCTTTTGAAGATTTATTTGTTGTCATAATCCAATTTTTCCGCTTCGTGTTGCAATAATGTAGAGAATTGAGCAAGAATGCATTAAAGAACAAGAAAAAAAGGGAGAAACAAAGGGAAAAAAAAACTGCTGAGGCTGCTAGTGGTGCTAGTGATGCATGAGGTGCAGGACTAGGATGTGTTTGATGATCATGATGATTTTTGGGCATTTGCTGAGTGTTTCAAGAAATATGATGTGAAACTGTACAACCTTTCAAGTATTCCCGGAGAGGAATGCACTGTAATATTACTCGTCTTTTTAGGGGGTTTTAACCCCATATTAACAATTTTGTAGTGAGAATAGCACAGATATAAAGGTATGTTGGAGAAGATTGCTTTTGTTGTGGGTTCCTTTCTGATGGAATTTAGGAGAGGTGCATGCTTTTCTGACTAATTATACTCATCTTCGTATGCTACAGCATTACTCAGGATTTTGGCGAACTAACATGGGGTTCCTTTAGTTCATGAAATGGTGTATTTAACCATATCTTAAGTGCACTTTTATCAGGATCTGTCATAGTAGCCCATTTACCAGAAAAGGCATTGTTACAATCTCGTTTAGAGGATGCGCTTTTTTTTCTTCTTCCTTTTGTACTAATCTAGGTTGTTTATGGTTGGTTAGAAGGCGCATTCCATTCAAATCTGAACCAATTTTCCTTAAATGGATGGTTGACTACATTTAGTTTATTGAGGGTTAATTTATAAAGTAAATATCCTGCATTTAGCTTGAAAGTCAATCTGTCTATTATTTTCTTCTCCCCTATTTTTCTACATGCAACATAACATATGATGCTTCTTGAAGAACTAGGAAATCAATACGAAGCAAGCTTATGTGTTTCCATAATCCCATTATACTTGAAAAACTTGTTCCAAGTCTGCTGGAAGCAATAATATAGCAACTTCTCTCCTTAGTATCTTCGTAGGGTGCATTTTCCAACTAAAGTTTGACAGCAATATCCTTTTCAGGCAAACAAGGTGATGACTCCTACGTGAAAAAGAAACTACAAATCAGATCTGTAACTATAGTCCCAGCAGGAAGACCAAAACCATGGAACATTCATCATAAACAAGCCGAGATATTATGTTTGGCATATGCTGGTCTTTGTTAATTTTTTTTCATTAATAATCTACCTCTCATTTCATGACTGAATAACAAAGTTGCGATTACAACTCTACCTAAAAAGCATTTTGCCCAGGGGAAGTTTCTTACCAGCAACAACTCAGCCTGTAACAGTGGCAATTTGTGACGTAGAAGCAAGAAAAATAAAACTAGTCTAGAATTCAAGAGAATGTCTGAAAAGCTCATAAACTACACTGTACTGCCACCATTATAACTAGTCCAAATGTTTCAAGCAGCGACCGTGAACTAAAGCACCAGCTGGTTACATAACTAACTCTCAAGAATTATAGTATTAAATTTAGTTGCTTGGAACCAACCAGTGAACTTCTTTTGGCTCATATCTTCAAGTCTGTTGTCCATGTACCTTGAACACTGGGGTGCTTGGTAACGTGTCTTGTCTTCAACTTGACCACCTTTCTTCCAAGTGAATTTCTTAGCCTGGTTGCACAGAGAAGTATATCCTCTGGTGTCATGTTTTTAACTGATACAACCCTCTCATTCTTGTTACCTGGTTATTAAGCAAATGAAAAGCCATCTCAAAAGGGAAACTCATGAAACCTAACTGTTGCCTTAATGAGACTTGCCAAATTAATTTAAAAAGAAAAATATTTCAACTAGCAGCAAAGTTATGTTTCAAGTAAAAGGCAACTGCTCTTACCTTCAACACATATTAAAGTGCAGAAAAAGCAAAGTGTACATATGCCACATATAATATGACTCTGACTGTCTTTAGCAATTAAGAGATGAAATAGCTATGCTAAAAATATTTGTAGATAAATTACACTTCCACTTGGAGCAGTAGATGCAATGTAACACATTTTGAGAGATGACAGGACAAAGGAACCTAAACCAATCCCGCCATTAAATTTCAATGGGCTTTGACTGCCAGTGTCACAATCAGCAGCTCAGGGTAAATTAGTACACAAAAATGTTTCTGTGGTAGTAAGGTACAGGATAACCTCTGTCCAGGTGCATCCATTAGTTTTGCAGCTAGATAGGCATAATCAATGAGATCAACAGATACAACTTCATTAATTAGTCGTGTTGGCACAAAGCTCAGAAGGTGCATTTACAAAGACATGCATGCTATTTCAATCTATTACTGAACTTTACAACCATATATCCTTTTGATCTGTGTCTAAGGGGCTAAAATTACACAAAGTAGAGAGATAGAAATGAAGTCAAACTCAAGGCATAGACTAAGAATGAAAACATTAATTGCAGAGAACTGGTTTGTCAAGATTGTAAAGATGTTCTTACAGTATAGTCCCTTCAAATATGGATGCTGACCACGATAAAGCTCAGTTACCACCTCCAGCTGGGGATTAATCTCTTTAAATGCTGGCAAATGAGATTCCATGAATGCCCTGGTGTGTTACGGACATGGTTAGTCCTTTCATTGCACTAGAAGATGACAGGAATCTACAACTTTTTATTTTCTATTCCCTCCCATTTAGATTAAAGAGAATTGTCCTTCATCATTAAGATTATATTAATGATATTTTTCTTATCAAAATTGTTTTTCTTTTGGTGAAACTGTGCTTGTAAACTAGCAGATAACTAATCTAAAGCAGGGAAAACTCCCTTTTTATATAAGCTAAACAAATTGTATTATAAGACCACATCTTGGACAGCCAAAATGCCATTCAAAAGCAGCAAAAATGCCAAGTAGACTATAATTTAACCATTCCTTTAATGCATATTTAAAAGATTGGACAGAAATAGTAGCATAGGAACTTGCACTGTAAAGTTGGAATTGATCCAGATATACAGATTTTTGGAGTATGATTGAATTAGGCCTGGGTCATATAAAGTATCCTCTTACATAACAAGAAAAATGAATGGACACAATTTAACTTAGAGTTCCTGATGTTGCCACAAGTAGGATTTCTAATGACTATCACATGTATTCAGTATTCAATGTTATCCCTTTTAACTTCTATAGTCCTCACAGTAACAGAAATTCGTAACCTACAAACCATTGTGGTAGCAATCCATCTACATGCATTTAGACATGTCATGTATCCATTGCTCTGGTGAAAGAAATCCAGTACTATCTATACACTTGAAAATCACTTTGTATCATAAGAGAACCAATGACATTGAACATACATATGAAATAAAACTTCAACAACAAACGAAATGCAAAAATAAGAATCTAAAATCACTAAAATTGACTTAAGATAATACATCAAGGAGCTATAATTGGAACATTCTCCTCAGAATATGCTAATCTAAACTAAAGAGCTATCACACAGTCAAGAAGATAAATTTGTCATGTACAGATCTACCGATTCTCAGGTGATTGCTACTAACTGGGATTTGAAAAGTATAAAGATCAAATTTTTGTCCTTTTGAGTATATTCTGTTATTTTCCTGTGGTTGAATCAACAACAAAATCATATCATACATGTAATCAAGTCAAGTCATTAAAGAAATTTGTACAGGTAAAAGTTCTAAATACAAAAGCAAGAAATACAAAAGCAATTAAGAAAAGCATACCTGAGGCCTCTACTACTTCCACCCCAGTCACAATAGCTCACAATCAGCTTGTTTAACTGCCACACACCTCTTAGGGCCATCTGGTTATCAAAATTATGCACCCGAACATCAGCAATAACCATTAAGGGCATAAAACGTGCACCATTTAATCCAATAATAAGAGAAATTTTAACTTGAAAAGGTGGGTAGTTTTATTTATTCTTTGTTCTCTATGTTTTGTAAGGGAAATATGGGGATCTTTCAAGTCTGAAAAGGCCAAGAATTCATTATTATTCCAGTAACAGCATGAAGGAACAAAATAATAGCAAAGAATTTGCATATAAACCAGAAAAATGAAGTAATTATTTCCTAAACCGATGATGTTTGCCCCCTTCAATGAGAAACATGTCATGGAGTGAAGAAGGCGTGTCTAAGATTACAAAGAAGGCGCGGTCAATCAGCCTGAAGAAGACAAAGGCGTGGTTTCGAAACCACGCCTTTCCTCTGGTTTAACAGAATTATACTTCTGTTATGCGCAAGTGGAGCTGATAATTCTAGAACTCCACGTGTCATAACCTTATTAGTCTGTTTAGAAGTTAGTTAGTCCAGAATTGTCCATAAAAGCATGAAGGAATCCGGATGATAGGCAGATTTTGTCATAATTCTCCAAGTGATTGTAAAGGTGATTTGGCTTTGCCAAATTCCCTCCATTTTCTCTTTTTCCTTCATTCTTTCCCCTTCATTCTGTATCCATTGTTTCTGTTTCTGAAATTGATCTTTTCCCGCTATTAATGAGAAGTTGGAGTTCATTATTTGTTCTCCATTTCCAATTCAAATAACTCGCTAAGAGATTAGCTCACTTCTGCTGCAAGAAATCTGTCACCATTGCTGTAATTAGGTTCAATACCATAACAGTGGTATCAGAGCAGCTACGATCCGTCTGGGTTTGGCTGCTTGATTAAAAATCTTTCCTCCTAATTTTTTTCCTTCACTTCTGATTCACTTTCTTCCCTATCCATCTTCCTCTCTTTTCCGACCAACCAAAATATATATATATATATGGAGACCCTTGAAGAAATCTCTAAAATGCTGAATTACTTCCTGGTGGAGCATAAGAAGCCTAAACAAACAACTAACGTAGCAGAGTACTATGAGGAATTTGAAGAGTGGAGAAACGAGATGTTGGCTTTGAAACCAGAACTCAGTGAAGAATACTTTATTGATGGTTTTAACTTTGGGCTTCATTGGAATATCCGGATGAAGCTAAAGGGATTTAGAAATCCACCCAAGATCATGTATGAAGCATATGTTCGAGCAAAAATCGAGGAAGCCGTGATGGAGAAGCATGATTCTGCTCTTGATTTACCAAAAGGAGAGCAGCTTATGAGAGAAAATGAGGTTATGGAGGCTGAACACAATGATATAATCACTAACTTGAAGGATGAAAGTGCAGTCAGCCACATGTTTGATGAATTGTGCCAAAGGACTCCAATGGATTTTTTAGAGGAGAACCAACATAAAACATCAGCAAGGGACTATCAAGAAGAAAAAGCTATAAACCAAGTGTTTGATAGATTGGCTCACAATGATTGTGTTATCTCTCAAGGGCTTAGCTATGAATTGCTTATAGGGGAGCTAGCTTGGCAACAAGGCTCTATAGACAAGGAAATATTTAACTCTGCTTCACCGCTCCATTGTCCCAGAAATTGGTCTTCGGTCAGCTGCAAGGATGGTGCTGTCAATATTGTTCCTTCGCAACCAAATAGACCACTTGATGACTTGATATTTGATCCTGGGGGCAGTACTAAAATAGCAATGAACAAAGATGCAGAGGGTGAAGAGGGAAATGAGATGCAAAATCAAGAGAAAGAGAATGATGGAAATAAAAATAATGGTGAAGAGGAGGAAACTAGAGAAGACGACCGGGGAAAGCATGATGAAGAGCAAAGTGGTGAGGAGACAGGAGAAAATAAAGAAAATGGTGGCGCAGAAAAAGAGAATGAAACGAAGGAGGAGAACAATGAGAATGCTAATGAAGACACACAAGAAAATGGAGCTGAGCAGAAAGGTAATGAGGAAAAGGATGCAAAAGAAGAGAATGGGGAAAATGAAGAGACCAGGGAAAATAAGAATGACCTGGATGGAGGTGAAGAGCAGGAGGTGAAGGAGCAGGTTAACGATGAGAGCAAGGCAACAGAAAAGGAAGAGAAGAAACAATTAGGCAATGAAGATCAAGGTAGAGAGAAACAGGAAGACCATGAAGTGAAGGAACCAAAAGAAGGTAAATCTGAGGAATCACCAGATGAGAAGGTTCATCAAGCAAATGAGCAGACAAACGAAGCTGCTGCACGGGAAAACACCAATGGTGGGAATGCCCAGAGTGAAGAGGTTCAGGATGCTCAAGGTATGAAAGACACTGAGAAAGTAAATAAGGAAAACGTAAATGGGGAAGAACAGTCGACTGAGAAGGTCCAGGACAAGTCTGAAGGCAACAGTGAATATGTGACAGAGGCAAATAAGGTACACGATAATGAATCAGGTTCAAATGCAAAAGAAGGTGAGTCAAATGAACAGAATAGTCCATCAACTGTTGCGACTGATGAAGGCAATGACAGTGAAAACACACAGCAGGAATCAGGTCACGATTCCAATCCTGCAGAAGGAACACATGAAGCTAATCAAGAACAAGGCAACGGCAATGAGACCACACAGCAGGAATCAGGGGAATCTTCCAATCCCACAGAAGGAACAAAGGAAGCTAATCAACAGCAGAGCATTAGCGACAATTCTAAGGCTGATGCTGATCAAAACCAGAGAAATGCTGTTGGTGATGTCCTTCCTGGGGGAGATGGTGCGCAGTCTACTCAAGAGGAGCAAACCGAGAACAAGGATGCTGCAACAAACAATGACAAATCCGATACAAGTTCAAATATGAAGGAGGGCTCAGCATATGGAGAAGGTTCAAATGATGTGGGCAATAGACAAAATGCTGGTAGCGATACTGTTGGGGGTACAGAGAAAAGTTCAGAAAATTCATCAGCCAATCAGGTTAATGAAAAGGTTGAGATCCAGAAGTCTGATGCTCATTCTGAAACAGGACCGGAAGAAAATATTAACCCTTCAAATGACAATGGCTGATTCATTGGTGGGGAACAGATCCAGCAGAGGCAACATGGGAATTTGCAGAAGAAATTAGGAAACAGTTCCCTCAATTCCAATCTTGAGGACAAGATTTTCTTTTAGGGGAAGGCTCTGTCATGGAGTGAAGAAGGCGTGTCCAAGATTACAAAGAAGGCGCGGTCAATCAGCCTGAAGAAGACAAAGGCGTGGTTTCGAAACCACGCCTTTCCTCTGGTTTAACAGAATTATACTTCTGTTATGCGCAAGTGGAGCTGATAATTCTAGAACTCCACGTGTCATAACCTTATTAGTCTGTTTAGAAGTTAGTTAGTCCAGAATTGTCCATAAAACCATGAAGGAATCCGGATGATAGGCAGATTTTGTCATAATTCTCCAAGTGATTGTAAAGGTGATTTGGCTTTGCCAAATTCCCTCCATTTTCTCTTTTTCCTTCATTCTTTCCCCTTCATTCTGTATCCATTGTTTCTGTTTCTGAAATTGATCTTTTCCCGCTATTAATGAGAAGTTGGAGTTCATTATTTGTTCTCCATTTCCAATTCAAATAACTCGCTAAGAGATTAGCTCACTTCTGCTGCAAGAAATCTGTCACCATTGTTGTAATTAGGTTCAATACCATAACAAAACAAGACTGGATTTTTCTCTGAAAATGTCAAGAGTTTGGGTTCCCCAATAAATTCAAACTCTAATATCATGAAAAGGGTTATACCAGAATTTAATAATATTTCAGTAAAAGACGAAGTTTAATATCAAGATGAGAGGAACAGGAAAAAGTCTCGACCTCGAAATGTACCTCAAACGGCAATCTGAAAGGAACCTGTGACAGGCACAGGGAGGCTTGCAGTGGCGTTGGGGGTTTATGGGTTTATCAAACCCAATTAGTAGAAATTATGAGAATTAAAACGGGTAAATTTTAATAAAACCCTCCAAGATATGTATATGTGACGATTGAACCCACAAATTTGACCCTCTGTGAGGACCCAAATTTTACTTATTTTAATCTTATTTTAATAGTTTAATTAATTATTTATTCACCCGTTTTCTCCAAATAATTTATTTCAATCTTTTAGACCCAATTACATGGAACTATGACTTACTTATATTTTTAAAATGACTCGTTTCAAAATTTAATTTTTGAAAGCACGTTTAGTGAGAATAGTGAATACGCGTTTGGAGTCAATAATCGATTCGAGAATACAATAAACTTGAAAAATTGGAGACTTGTACATTAGTCTTGAAATAGGTATTTTTATGTTTAAATGTTCAAGTGTTAGTTAGTTATACTATCATTATAAGAATTTCTTGAAAATTCCACTTTATCGCGCACAAATCAGTAGTACGCGTTTTTACGCGCGCGATTAATTGATAGACTTTAGACCTTTATTTTTAGACCATTAAGAGTGAATAATAATAGTATGAATAGAAGTGCATTAGAGGTTTAGTGCACTAGTGAAACAAACTCGAGAGAAATTGAGCACGAAACGCGCGCGGGGAGAGAGTTGACTTTTAGGTAATTTTGAGCCACACATTAAAGCTTCTCAAGGAAGCTTCATTTGCATCAAACACTCTCCTTTCTCTCTCTCGTTCCAGCCGTGCACCCTCAAGGAGGAAGAAGACCAAATTCTTCTTCATTTCTTGCTTCAATCCTTCATCAAATCACCTCAAACTTTAACCACACTTTGCAATCTATTTGGAGAGCAACTCAAGCTACAAAAAGAGCTTCAAATCCACGGTTTTTCTTGAGTAAGGAGGACCGAAATTTCTACCTTAATCATCTAAAAAAGTAAGTGACGATCAACTTTGTAAATCTTGACTTATGGAAGTTGTTTAGCACTTATGAGTTCATAATTTCTTATGGGTAGCTTTAAATTGTTGGAAAATTGGTGAGTGGGTTCTATGAACTCCCACTATGGTTTGATGGACTGATTTTGTGAGTTTTGATGTTAATAATGTTGGATTAGTACTTAAATTAGTAGAAATGAGTGATATTATGGATGAAAGCTCAAAGGAAGTGAAGGGAAGAATTTTTTCATTTCTGCCCCTGTGAATGCCGTGACCTTTAGAGCATTTTTTTGAAGTTCTATTGACTTGTTTATGATGTATATATGTTGTGTGGGTTGTGTGGAAAGTTTTCACAAAAAAATTACGTGATTTGATTGGCCAAATATGGTGATTTTGAAAGTTCATTCAAAACTGGAATTTTTTCCGTATTGCACTGGCAGTGTTTTTCAAACAGCTATAACTTTTTGCTCCAACATCGAAATCAAGTACCGTTTGTGGCACTGGAAACTAGACATTCCCAGATTTCCAACGGTATAAAATACACATCCTGATTCCACTTGAGTGATCCGAACCAATCTTGTAAAGTTGCCTGTTCTGTTTCTCATTTTACTGGAAGCTCTGTTTTAAGCAGCGAGTTGATGCCCAAATATGAGCTAGTTGTGGATAGATTTTTAAAATGATTTCTTCTGAGAAATTGTAGCTTTATGAAACTAGTTTTCAACGCCACCAACCACGTTCAATTCCAAGTTGAATTGAGTGAGTTGTGGCCGAAGTTCGAAACTGATTCAGGGATTGAAAACCCTCTTTTGGCTAGTTGATGACTTAACCTTGAGTGAGACTTGTTGTTTCGAAATTCTTGGTGTTAATCACCTACCAAACACATCCTGGATGTTTCTTAGACATTTTCAACCTAAATGAACCATATTTGAGATGTTTTCATTGGGCGAATATTTAGAAAAGGAAAATTGGCATACAATGATAGATTTGTCTTGGAAATTCGTGGGACTTTAGTGATTTTGTTAACCAACTTTCCGTACTTATTTTTTTATGAAATTTGACAGAGGAATAGCCCTTATATGGTAGTATAATACTGCTAATTTTGGTGCCATTCTGAGTCCGTTTCGATGTTCAACCAAAGTCCCAACTTTCGTGAATTAAATCTGGAATTCGGCCTAACGGTCTCACTTTTCAGCAACTTTGAGCCGCCATATCTTGGTGCTCAAAACTCCAATTCTTGTTCTGCTTGTTTTGTTTTAAACTTTGATTGTAACTCTAATTGATTTTTAAATTTGAGAGGTTAGTTCAAATTCTGTGAATTTTTCCGAATTTCCAAAGTTGGCCAAAAACCAACCCCGAAACTGCCTCAATAGCCTAAAACACTAACTTTGAGCCAAATTTTGAATGTCTTCCATTTGGAATCATGGAAAAGTGTCTGCCAAGAACTTTTAATAGTTTGGAAGATGTTTCCAACGGTACCAAGTTTTCCAATTTTGGACTTGTAAAGAGTGAGATACGATTTTTCAAAGATCTCGTATCAAAGCTGAAATTTTCGAAACTTAAGGAAATAGAGTTTTTCGAATTCTCCTTTTTCCTTCGATATCACATGATCGTTTTACACTTGAATTTAGAGATGAAAACTAGATTTCTCTTGTGCTTTAAAACCCCGCCTTTGAGCCTCGATTTACGAGTAAATAGGGCTCATTTTCATGAGATATTCTTAGATTGTACTCTAGTACAATCTTCTTCGATAATTGGGGTTTATGAGTGATAGATTATTATTAATTGCTCATGCACTCAAGAGGACCTTCAGGAGGATCCCACGGTGAACGCCTGAATCTTCAAGTGGACACTTCCTTGTTTCTTGGATTGGTGAGTGTCAAGTGCATGAATTTGTTGCTAAGTGGTTAACTGTTTCTTATCCGTTATGTGAATTTGAAATTAAGAGACGTGTGTGTATTTTACCGCACTCGTTTTCTTTCGAACAAAATTATATTCGTATTTTGCTATGTGAATTCATATTCAGCTTGTACATAGTAATGTGGATGTGATTCATATTTGTGATTCTTATTTGGAATTGTCGGTTTGAGCGTTGCTCATCGGCCTATGACGGTATTTATCGATTGGACTGAATGTCTTCAACCATTATAAGTATAATCGTATAATTGTGGTCACTGAGCGATAACATGTACCACACCGATCCGGGTGGAAGGTACCTCTCATGTCGTCTCAAAACCATAAACCATCCTAAGTCGATTGGAGCGATGTCTCACTGACTACTGGGCGATAGTATGTACCACACCGATTTGGGTGTGAGGTACCTCTCATTCGACTCAAAACTATAAGCAAAGCATAAGTCAATTGGAGCGATGTCTCATTGAATAAGTAAAGTTCTACGGACTATTGGATTGAATTTTGGCAAAGCAAGTGGAAATGAGCTCCTAAGAGCTCCCGTATCCTTCTTGAATGTGTTTTGTGAATATTCGGGAATTACTTGAATGTTATAGTTTTATCTCTCGTACCAGCTTTATTGTTATTTGAATTACCTGCTTGCATGTTTTTCTTGGTCTCACGAGCATTCGCTCACCCCGTTAGATTTGTTTTCCTTAACAAGAGCTGAAATGGAAGGAATTTTGGAGAAGCTTACTTGATGGCTCATTTGATTAGAATTTTGAATGTATTTATTTAGACAACTTTTGGAATCTATATATTTTGGGAATGTAAGGTATTTTTGGTAGCTTTTGATGTAAGACTTGAACGTTTAGTAAGGAATTGACCTTCCTTTATATCTTCGACTTCTAGTATCGATTGGTTATTTTTAAGTTTGAATTGAATTTGTACCGAGTCCTGACGAGAGTTGGGCAGGCGTCCCGCGGATACCCTTGGGTTCACCCTTGGGAGACGTGGGAGCGTCACAGTTGGTATCAGAGCCTAGGTTTCAGATCTTTGTAGAGTGTTCTAGGCTTAAAAGTTTAGGATGCCGGACTGTGGGATTTGATTGTGTATTACGTACAATGGGATCTTGGTGTTTGAGATTGTAGCACCATTTTGCTCACAAAATACTATAAGACTTTACTCTTCAAGTTAGGTTGGAGGTGAGTCTAGATTAGGAAATTTAAATAACCATTTGGTGAGTTTAAGGGTTAGGAACCTCGCTTCCTCCATTATTTTGCTTGCCGAACTTTCCGAAGGAAAAGTTGAACCATTTGAACAATTTTGGGTTTCACTTTAAACTTGAAAATAAGACATCTTATGCATTCCATTTGGTTTGACTTATTACCCTAACTTGTATAAGAACTTTCACCTTGGATCTAGTGAGGAGGCTAAGAATTTAGAAAGTAGTTTAGGCTTTTGGATGAAATTTGGAATTTACAATTACTCGAATGATGTGATTTGATATCGTGAATTTTTCTAGTTTTGCCCTAACTAGGCTTATGATTTTTCTCCTTTTGATTCTGCCCACGATAGTAGGGGTAATGCATGCCGTGAGGTCCTTTTGTATTTTGCCTGCAAGTACTATATTTGTGGTATTTAGTTGCCCATGACTTGTAGTTGATACTATTAATTCGTTGTATGCACATCGACATGTGACATAACTTCTAACTTATGCAAATAGTTATGCTTTGATTTAAAGTGTTCTTGCAATGTGTACCTGTTTTTCGATTCACATGCTTATACTTTCTACTTCTATTATGCGTTTAGAAACTTGCTAAATGAATCGGCGAGAACGTGGACGGGGGCGTGGGCGTGAGTTTCAGCAACCCCGCACTTCCGAGAGAGGTGAGGGATCCGCGACTGGACCAAACCAAAACCCTAGAAACGAAGAGGGTAACCAAGTGGTTACGGCCATTAACCGCATAACCGATATTCTCGAGCGCTTAGCTGAGCGTCAGGGACCTGAACCAGGCGATCAACCTAGGAACCAAGAGAGGGGTCAGGATAGAGCCCTCGAGCGATTCTTGAAGTTCGCTCACCCTAAATTCCATGGAGGGTCTGACCCCGAAGTAGAGGAAAATTGGTTTGAAAGGATGGTTGA